ACTGATCAACTGAGAATACACTAAAAAAGTTGTTTATTAAATTGATGTTAGCAAAAAAAAATGTTTTACCGATTATTAAACTAGGTATATAGGTACGCCAATATGACGAAAACTGTGCAGTGCAAAAATTCGAAAAAATTTATTCTTGATTATTATTAGACAAAAGCTTAAGGATTCTAATAGTTTTCAAATAATAATTTTATCATAAGCGAGATAATTAAGATCTGATAAACTAACATTATGTTACATTATATACGAATCGCATTTTGTGGACGATGGTAGAGCCCTCTCAACACGTGCCGAATTGAAAGATGAAAATACCCATGGAGGAAAGAAAATACCCATGCTGATTTCGTATCCAAAAAAAATTCCTGATTGTTGTAAACAGTCAAAATGTGTTCATGCTTCGTAGGGTTGATCGACTCGGGCCATGGAGGAAGGATTATTAAGCCTTGGTTTCTTTGAACACTCCGTCGCGGTGAGCGGACAGTCCGTCGACCGCTGAGGACAGCAATTTTCGCCCGAGGTGGTTTGTTAAAAAATATAGAAAAAGATAATTTCTCTATGTCTGTACGTGCTGTTTATGTATTATGAATGTAAACGAAAGGTTCTAAAATGGATGCAAATAAATTGTTTGCGTTATTATTGTTGGAAGAGGAAGAACAAGAGGAACTGGCAATTGCAACCGTCAAAGTTTCCAATAAGCCAGTGGATGAGTCGTTTTTGTGTCGCGATACAGAAGGTGCCTTTAATATCACTGTGCAGCGGAGGCTTCTTGGAAATGAAACCAAATTTAGGGAGTATTTTAGACTTTATACAGATCTTTTTGAATTCGTTTTGAGTTTTATAAAGGACATAATATCCAAGAAACCTAAAAATAAAGTCATGATGTCATCTGTATGTGTGAATTTGTCACTCATTGTTTTAAAATTAATAACAATATAGTCTCTGCACACGCCGACGATTCCGCTGATATCAAACTCAACAGATATCAACCGACTCTTCGCGACAAATCAGCGGCATGACGCCGTCCTGCTCAGCTAAGCGGATTCAAGAAAACCATTCCCATTTAAATACTCTGGTTGGATAAAATCGTCAAAACGCAACGGTTGACGGACTGTCCGCTCACCGCGACGAAGGCTTTAAGCCTTGGTTTCTTTGAACACTTCGTCGCGGTGAGCGGACAGTCCGTCAACCGTCGCGTTTTGACGATTTTATCCAACCAGAGTATTTAAAGCCTTGGTTTCTTTGAACACTCCGTCGCGGTAAGCGGACAGTCCGTCGACCGCTGAGGACAGCAATTTTCGCCCGAGGTGGTTTGTTAAAAAATATAGAAAATGATACTTTCTCTATGTCTGTACGTGCTGTTTATGTATTATGAATGTAAACGAAAGGTACTAAAATGGATGCAAATAAATTGTTTGCATTGTTATTATTGTTGGAAGAGGAAAAACAAGAGGAACTGGCAATTGCAACCGTCAAAGTTTCCAATAAGCCAGTGGATGAGTTGTTTTTGTGTCGCGATACAGAAGGTGCCTTTAATATCACTGTGCAGCGGAGGCTTTTTGGAAATGAAACCAAATTTAGGGACTTTCTACAGATCTTTTAGAATTCGTGTTGAGTTTTATAAAGGACATACTTTCCAAGAAACCTAAAAATAAAGTCATGATGTCATCTGTATGTGTGAATTTGTCACTCATTGTTTTAAAATTAATAACAATATAGTCTCCGCACTCGCCGACGATTCCGCTGATATCAAACTCAACAGATATCAACCGACCCTTCGCGAAAAATCAGCGGCATGACGCCGTCCTGCTCAGCTAAGTGGATTCAAGAAAACCATGCCCATTTAAATACTCTGGTTGGATAAAATCGTCAAAACGCGACGATTGACGGACTGTCCGCTCACCGCGACGAAGTATTCAAAGAAACCAAAGCCTAAATGGGAATGGTTTTCTTGAATCCGCTTAGCTGAACAGGACGGCGTCATGCCGCTGATTTGTCGCGAAGAGTCGGTTGATATCGGTTGAGTTTGATATCAGCGGAATCGTCGGCGTGTGCGGAGACTATATTGTTATTAATTTAAAACAATGAGTGACAAATTCACACATACAGATGACATCATGACTTTATTTTTAGGTTTCTTGGAAATTATGTCCTTTATAAAACTCAACACGAATTCAAAAAGATCTGTAGAAAGTCTAAAATACTCCCTAAATTTGGTTTCATTTCCAAAAAGCCTCCGCTGCACAGTGATATTAAAGGCATCTTCTGTATCGCGACAGAAAAACAACTCATTCACTGGCTTATTGGAAACTTTGACGGTTGCAATTGCCAGTTCCTCTTGTTCTTCCTCTTCCAATAATAATAACAACGCAAACAATTTATTTGCATCCATTTTAGTACCTTTCGTTTACATTCATAATACATAGACGGCACGTACAGACATAGAGAAAGTCTCATTTTCTATATTTTTTAAAAAACCACCTCGGGCGAAAATCGCAGTCCTCAGCGGTCGACGGACTGTCCGCTCTCCGCGACGGAGTGTTCAAAGAAACCAAGGCTTAAAGCCTTGGTTTCTTTGAACACTCCGTCGCGGTAAGCGGACAGTCCGTCGACCGCTGAGGACAGCAATTTTCGCCCGAGGTGGTTTGTTAAAAAATATAGAAAATGATACTTTCTCTATGTCTGTACGTGCTGTTTATGTATTATGAATGTAAACGAAAGGTACTAAAATGGATGCAAATAAATTGTTTGCATTGTTATTATTGTTGGAAGAGGAAAAACAAGAGGAACTGGCAATTGCAACCGTCAAAGTTTCCAATAAGCCAGTGGATGAGTTGTTTTTGTGTCGCGATACAGAAGGTGCCTTTAATATCACTGTGCAGCGGAGGCTTTTTGGAAATGAAACCAAATTTAGGGACTTTCTACAGATCTTTTAGAATTCGTGTTGAGTTTTATAAAGGACATACTTTCCAAGAAACCTAAAAATAAAGTCATGATGTCATCTGTATGTGTGAATTTGTCACTCATTGTTTTAAAATTAATAACAATATAGTCTCCGCACACGCCGACGATTCCGCTGATATCAAACTCAACAGATATCAACCGACCCTTCGCGAAAAATCAGCGGCATGACGCCGTCCTGCTCAGCTAAGTGGATTCAAGAAAACCATTCCCATTTAAATACTCTGGTTGGATAAAATCGTCAAAACGCGACGATTGACGGACTGTCCGCTCACCGCGACGAAGTGTTCAAAGAAACCAAGGCTTTAAGCCTTGGTTTCTTTGAACACTCCGTCGCGGAGAGCGGACAGTCCGTCGACCGCTGAGGACTGCGATTTTCGCCCGAGGTGGTTTTTTAAAAAATATAGAAAATGAGACTTTCTCTATGTCTGTACGTGCCGTCTATGTATTATGAATGTAAACGAAAGGTACTAAAATGGATGCAAATAAATTGTTTGCGTTGTTATTATTATTGGAAGAGGAAGAACAAGAGGAACTGGCAATTGCAACCGTCAAAGTTTCCAATAAGCCAGTGAATGAGTTGTTTTTCTGTCGCGATACAGAAGATGCCTTTAATATCACTGTGCAGCGGAGGCTTTTTGGAAATGAAAGCAAATTTAGGGAGTATTTTAGACTTTCTACAGATCTTTTTGAATTCGTGTTGAGTTTTATAAAGGACATAATTTCCAAGAAACCTAAAAATAAAGTCATGATGTCATCTGTATGTGTGAATTTGTCACTCATTGTTTTAAAATTAATAACAATATAGTCTCCGCACACGCCGACGATTCCGCTGATATCAAACTCAACCGATATCAACCGACTCTTCGCGACAAATCAGCGGCATGACGCCGTCCTGTTCAGCTAAGCGGATTCAAGAAAACCATTCCCATTTAAATACTCTGGTTGGATAAAATCGTCAAAACGCGACGGTTGACGGACTGTCCGCTCACTTCGACGAAGTGTTCAAAGAAACCAAGGCTTTACTCGGACTGTTTTGGCCGCGCAAGCGTTTTTGTAGTGTTATGAATATTAGCTTTTAGAACGTATACAATCCCAAATTGTTTATTTTTGTGTGCACGAATGTCTTTTGTTCTTATTTTATTTGTAAATGACACATTTTAGAATTATTAATTTTTTTAATATCATTCTCCCGTTTTTTTTATTCCATTGAAATGTAATGAGGATGATAATGATGAACATATACATGCAAATGTTATTTGGAGCTTTCAAAAGGAACTGCATTTATTATAATAAACAATAAATAAAACAACTTTAGTGTTCTGGGTTTCCAACAATTTTAAACAGTCGGGGATTTGTTGCGTTTACGCACACGGTCCGGCGCAGTTTCAAACCATTTTCATTTTGAAAACCAGAACCACAAACCTGTTTTTTCTTGTATTGTACACTGATCTGTATTATTTTACTGGATAGGATATAGGCTATATTTAACATACTAAAAAACCGTTCCACCAAGGAGACCGGAAGTGCAACAATGCTGGCCGATTTGGGCAAATTATGGTGGGTTCACAGAACTAAAATTTGGGATAATTTGACATACCTAACCTATAATTTGATTAGTTTTTCTTCTTATTCTTCTTCTATTCCTTTTGCGGGCGATGTCCTTCGGGAAAATTCACCCATGATTTGATTTTTTGTGAAAGAAAATATAAAAATGGAAACGTGAAGCATATTGTGTCTTCAGGAATGAACGTTTATTATTTATTTCATACTTTTTACTTTGTTTTCCACAATAAAAACATCTCATCGTAGCTTGTTGACACAATTAAATGACAAATGGAAATAGAGGTTACGTTAAATAACATCCGGTCCGCCATATTATTTGCCCAAATCGGCCAATTTTTCGGAACGTTTTTTAGGTGGCTATATCCTATCCAGTAAAATAATACAGATCAGTGGTATTGTACGATTTTTTTGTGGAAAAATTGGCTAATAAAAAAAAAATAGTTGGCAACACTGCACAGTATTGTCATATCTAAACTGTCATTTGTCATGTCAGCATTTTGACAGGTCGTTGCCCCACTGTCAAAAATATTAATTTTCGGGGTGCAAGGCTAGTTTGAAAGTAATTTTAATTTCCTAATTTATAGTAAGTTTATTTTTATTATCAATGTATACATTTTTTGTTAATATAGTTTGCATTACATTAAAACTAGTAACTTGTTTGTGGATTACAAAGTGATGATATAACTAATCTAACCATTTATTTTGTAGATTCCGAAATGTCTCTTTCTCCTTGGCTGAAATCACCTTTTACAGATTTAACAGGAGCCATAGTAAGCCACCAATGGTATGGTCGATGTGCTGATCTCGAACTACAAGCATTGGACTGCTTAGAAGCCTATGGTTTGGATAGGGGTATAAAGAAATGTGATTTACTTTTACAAGACTTTACTGAATGTTCTTTACGAATTAAGCAAATGAATAGGATGTTTGCTATGAGGAATGAAAGACATCGTCAATATTTTGCCGGAGAAAGAAGCAAAGAAGAAAAATGGGCAGCAGGACCAAAGCCAGATAGTTACTAAGTACCAATTAAATTTGTAGATATATTTATAGTTTTTGTTTCAGAATGTTAATAAAAATTCAAAAACTTTTCATCAAGTACCCCTTTCGTTAATTACTGTTTATTTTAGTTATAAACATGTATATTCAAGGGCTACCAAAAGTGATTTTTTAATTCAGAAAATATTTAGTGTATACTTATCAAGAAACAGTACAGGATGTGACTATATTCTTTAAAAATAACCTCTACAGTCTACACTAATGATAAACTTGATAGTTCCCTAAGAATATTATATTGAACTAGGGCCTACTTTCCAGGTTTATTAAAATTGCATATGCAGTTAAATTTGTTGTGGTCAGTTTTTTAGGATACACTTCTTTGTGTTAAGAACTTTTCCATATTATGGTGTGAGGCAATTTTCGACCAGTCTGACTCTGCTTTCATTATCGTCAGTCCAGTTAACGAGATGAGATAGTGAAACTAGGTTTAGTCCAACGATGAAAAACTACTAGACTAATCCATTCATAATTAAGCCCCGTTTTATTGCAATCATTCAGATTGTGTTTATTATGCAGACAGAGCTGCCACATTAGATAACTGAGACAGCAGCTAATTTGATGTGAATTGTTTGGGCAAGTATGTTTTCTAGGAGTGTTACCAAAATTAAAGACCTGGGAATCATATTTTGCTCTGACCTTTCCTTTAATCATCATATTAATCAAATAGTTAAGGACCATGAAAATGTTAGGCATGCTGATAAGAAACTCTAACTCGCTATCTTTAGATGATTGTAGAATGGTTTATACTGCACATATTCAGTCCATTTTACAACAAAATGATTGAAAAATGTCCAAAATAAATATCAACGATATTGTGCCTTTAAACTTCGTCTAGTGGCAGGTACATAAAGAATAATTATGTTTTTAATATCTTTAATTTCATATATGTATTATTGAATTGTATCTTTCATAATGTATTTAAGCTATTTTTTGTATACTAATCACATTCAAAAAACATTTAACTTACCATAGTGATGAAGTGTTCGAGTTTTTACTTTCCTGTCTGTATACAGATAAGGAAGATATAGAAATAATTTTTTTTTTCGACTTCGAATTTTCGACAGATTTTTACGTTTTGGGGTCCCCTAAATCCCTTTTTTTTTACTATTTTCGCGTTGATGTGTGTGTGTATGCGTACGTGTATGTTATGAACGGATAAACAGAAAAACACCAAATTTTAAATTTAACTTTAATCCATCCTGCGGTGAGTTGATTTGATTTAAGGAATAGTCGAAACATCTGGGGTACTTTATAGGGGGTCGTTTTTCTACTTCATTAAATATGTTATTTACCTTTGGAGAATTTCTTCAAATAAAACTTGCTTGTGATTTTATTCTCTATAATTTTTATCCTATATATAATTTTCCTACAATGGACCGTATTCGAGAAATTTTACGAGTTCAAAATTCGAATTTTTAAGAAAATTGTTCAAATAAAAGTTGCTTGCTATAATTCTTGTCCTATATATGATTTACCTAAAAAATACCATATTCGACATTAAACATTTCCAGGGGCGATAGAATAAATTGTATAAAATAACCAGAAAAAGTCTGTAATAACTAGAGAGGAAAGTCATGTGTTGGACATATCAGATTTTTTATTTAACTTGTTCAAGTATAGCTATAGGCAATTTAAGTACTATCACAGCTATGTAAAAAACTGCATTAGTTTAGACCAGTGGTTCTCAAACTTTTTTGGCGACGGTACCTTTTTGAAAAGCGAAATATTTGACGGAGCCCTAAACACATTTATAAAAATTTCTAAAAAAAGGTCCTCAAGCCAAGTCACTCCCTCTTGTAGCGATAGTACTGCTTTTTTTTATTATGACTATTATTTTCTTCGCGGAGCCCCTACAAAGGCTTTGCGGAGCCCCAGGGCTCCGCGGACCACACTCTGAGTAACGCTGGTTTAGACTATATCACATCTCACATTAATAAATAAATAAAATACAATGTTCTTTAATTATTTTTATTGTTTACAATCGTATAACCATTTAGTTTTTACAAAATAAAAATGTCTTAAAAAGATATTTATTGATGATACATATTTAAGTGAGTTTAATGGGGACATCAACAAAAAAATATATTAAGTGAGCTCAAAAAGATAACAAGCAGTTTTATAAACAATAATATTGAAATATAATACAAATTTGAAAACCTGTTTATGACAATGTTGAATGATGTAATTTCTTGGTTGCAGAGATCACATAAACAATCACAATATTAGTAATTCATTTTAGATGTAATAACAAATAAACTTTCCGATATCTCGATTTAAAATTATAAATTAAATTTTATTTGAAAAAGATTTCACTACAAAAATATTGAAGTTGAATATGTTATTACACAACATATCGTCTGTGAATTGTCAATACCTCCTAACAAATATTTTTACTGAAAATGAGTTCTAGGCGCCAACTGTTGCAAAAAGTTATTATCTACTATTGTGCAAACTCTTCTAAGTGACAACACAATATTAAATGGCATTTTGTTCCAACTGATTGTCGACATTTGCTACTATCTTACATAATATCAATACTATTTTTTAGTTACAAACAGTTATATTTAATTTAGTTTTAACGTCCTGTAAAATTTCTCTACATTGAGTAAGGAGGTATTGCCGTTTCACGGACGATATATACTTTTACATCAAGTATAACCATAAAATAAATCTTAGTACTACAACATTTTTTCAGATACATCACTACAATTTACATTTTTTTTCTTCAAAGATTAACATATTTTAAATAAGAATTTCAAAAACATAAAACCGAATTTAGCTTTGATTTGGCCATATTTAAGTAATTATCCTATCCTACATTTTTAAATATATTCTAATGTTATTGAAGGGCTTGGATGTTGATAGAGATTTTTTTTTGTAAATTGAGAAAAATGGTAAGGTTCGATTACAATAAGAAAAACAGAGCTACGTCATCAATTAATTGGTGGAGTAATTTGTTGCCGCCTACTGGGAGTTTAGTAACTTGTTAATATTATAAGAATATAGGATTAATATTTTTAAACTAAACAACTTACATATTCTTTCTTTATTGATAGTTATAGATGATATATATTTGAAAACGGAGTGATAACGAAACTTTTGTAAAAGAAGTAATGATCAACCAGGTTCATTTGCTCAACGATGTTAACAGAGGTGCGACGTTAGAAGACATTGTTAGCAGAATGAAAACCGTTCAAATTCTACAGCTAGCAACGTTTCCCAGATTCGTTTCATGGTAGTTTCAGTAACCATCGCCAACATCGAAGATGTCGCAGAATGGTTGGATTACAGCGAATTTTTCAATTTCCAAAAGAAATTAGACCAGTACCAACAATTAAAAATACTGGTCCTGGGTTATCCCAAGAAGAATGCCTTGTCTACCTTTAAGTTTGGTATGTCACTCAATTACTGACTTGAAAGTTTGATATTCAACATTCGGAAGGACAACCCTCATAAATATTCTGTAAAACAAGGAAGAGCATTGAAATGACCACCAGACATTTGATTCAAACCATTAGAATGTCAAAAAATCGCGAACATTTGCGATACCATCTCCGACATTCATAACGCAGATGCGAGCATAGACACTCGCCACACAGTGGAAATGGCGTTTTGAGAAGGCCATTGCCACACAGTGGAAATGGCGTTTTGAGAAGGCCATCTATCGATTTTGGTAACGGCTAGCATGTTAGGCGTGAACTTGCCCGTCCATTTGGTGATTACCAAGTTGACGAAATACTATAGTAACGGCAACATTGACTATTCGGGGTTGGCTTTCTCCAAATGATCGGTCGGCGGTTCAATACCAATGCTACAACTTTGATTTTGACCACCAACACAATGCAAGTGATTCATGTACTTTAGTATTTGTTTTTGGCATTTTGGGAAGAAAACATTGTGCTTGTATCATAGCATATTTACCTTCCAAGCCCTTCGATTTACAAAATAAACAAAACATTTAATAAGCTAATTAAAGTAAAAGTAAGAAAGTTTTCCTAATTAATCAGAAAAATAAATCATACATAATTGAAAACATTTTGTTCAAAAATATAGATTTTCTAAATCGCTATATATAATACTTGGAATTAATTGTATAATAAAACATTATTATTCAAAAATTCCTTACAATACATATCTAATTATAACAGTAGGTAATAATTCTATGATTTACAGATAAATCCTAAAATGTATCTAGAACAACCTGTACTATGTCATTTCATTTACTACTGCATATTTTATTTAAATACAAGATTCAAAAAATTTATATTTTTGCGAAATTCATTAAAAATTTTAATTTATTACTGATGACTCACAGTGCATACTTTAGTTACTGAATGTTTATGATCGTTACTGAGGAATTAGTGAACTAGTTCTAGGATAGTTTGCAATCAATTTTAAGAGAACCAAAACAGGCTTAAATAGGTCATAAATATTTATGATTCAACAAAGTTTTTTATATTTAATTAAACAAAGAATACGAAGTAAATCACAAAACATTGTGTTTTATAATAGAAATGTTTAAGGCTATTTTTTACAGACCCATTATTATATTGTATAGCTAGGAACTTTGTATAAAATGTATTACTAAATTGTGTAATTTAAATGGGATAGAGCAAGTAAACAAGAATCAGCAAGTTTTGGATATGGAGTGAACTGGCTCTTAAACCTGAAAATAAAAATCAATAATTTTTTCATCACATCTAAATAACGAAACGAAAAATATAATTACGAATAAATGCTAAATAACAAAGCTGCAAATAATAAAGAGATCCACAAAAAATATTTCTAACATTTTCCATGACTGACAAAGACATAGATACGTGTCCGTGATAACTACACATGGATACGAATTAAATCCAAACTTCCACTTAAAAAGAATAATTCTAGAATAGTCTCATCCCACTTTAACATTGACAGAACGTGTCAAAGGAAATATTCTTAATGAAAGGAATATTGAATTTTATTCTAGAATAATTTTATATATAAGGTGAGTTTTTTGGTATTATCATAGATAATCGGA